ACTCGGGGAGGTGACCTTTTAAATAGTTATATTTCTGCTGAACGATGTTTCGAACCGTAAACTCGAACTTCGAACTGTAAAAAAGTATGTGTTTTTGATCGATTGATAAAGGAATAACCTGTTGAAACAGAGCGGCTAGTTGTCTTTGAAGAAGCGAGGTGAGGGTGATGAGACACCTCTCCAAAATATATCAATGTTGCGAATTATAAGTCGCTTAAAGTTTTATTTATTCAAACTGGGCGTAAAAGTGATCACTTATAACTAATATATTTCGCAAAAATTTTGTCTGAATTTTGCATGATAACAGAATCCAGTTATACTTAACTTATACCTCGCTCATTTTCTTCGAAATTAACAAATTACACACAGTTTACATATTCTGTATATAATATTTTGTAATTTGTATATTTTACATCATCTATGTACATTTTTATCTATTTGGCTATCCAACTCTTAATTTTGATTCTTGTTTTGTATATGATCACCCAAAACGTTTTTTCTTTAACGAAAAAAGTAAGGAAAAGACTGAGCCCTAGCTCTAAGTTAATTCTGTATTCTGCTCACTTCGCTAATTAAAACTGGAATAATTAGAGAAGACCCCTTTTCACTTCTTACATTAATTTGAAGTACACAAATTGTAATAATACATTCGCCAGAAAAAGGTTCCTTTAGTTTCTTATATCAAAGATAAAAGTTAGTAAAGTGGATCCGTTTCAATTTAATTGTAGTGATTTTACTGGAAAAAAATGTAGAACTTGGACTTCTCTGACCATGATGTTCGGAAAAGTGATGAAGAAAGTTATGTTTATCATTCCAAATTCGTGCAATTTCTAAAATTAAAGTAAAATCGACATTCTACAAGCTTTAGTCTGTGATATTGAGATCTCTATATCTTGAAAACTAACCGATAAACGATAAAATTTGTTCTTTTCTCCATTTCTTGCTTTATATATCTCTCTATAGTGTGCATAGAAAGAAAAAAACATCAAATCAAGTATAATACAGAAAAGAATATATACATACATCGTCATTCTGTTATACGATAGTTGCATATTCTTTTTCTCAGGCATGAATAATACTGTTCTCAATTTTGTTTCCAATCAAATTACCAGTTTTTATTTTCCTGCAAATTATTTGTAATGTAAATTAATTTAAATTTAAGTAAATTAATATAAATTACTACTTCTTGTAGAGAATGAAAAATTGAATCAGAAAATAGTGTTTAGGTAATATTCTAATATTATGTGACTGCTGGCGGGATCACTTTTTATTCGGTTTCAAAAATGCGAAATCCCCCGAACGATTTTTCAACGCGGTTGCTCGGTTTTCTATATCTTTTTCCATGTCTTTAGCTAGTTTTGTGTCTTAGTATTGTAAATTATATGAACAGAGTTTTCTGACATGGTGTATCCGTCTCTGAGACGTGCGCAGGCACGAAAAGCAGCAGTAAAGCGTCTGTCGAACAGAAATTCTAATATTCCCAGTGTACGTAATGATGAGAAGAAAGATTTGATCGGTGATCCAGAAGCTAAGCTGACAGATTCACATTGACGCAATTGATTTCAATAACTAGTCTTTGCTGATTGATATTGCTGATTTAGCACACCTCTGCACGGAAAAATGTGGTCACAAAAGTCTACGCGTTGATTTATTTGATTTCACGATATTTTGTAAAATCTTTTCTGTTTTCTTCTCTATTTCTCTCCATGTACGATTCTATGTGAGCGTATGTTTTTAGTATGTATATTTGATAACCTTTGTTACTGAAGGAAAATTTGTGGTAAAAACTAAGTCCAAGCAAGTCTGAGATATATGTCTTGTCACTTTTGAGACTAATTGACAAAGTCCTTCATTAGCTAAAAATTGAAACAATTTTGCAGCTTCAGCTGTCGTCGGTACAGTTGGACGCTATTGATTACAATGGCCGTTGAGGTCACCATTAAGTATAATAGAGTAGAAATGAGTATTAGGATCAGAACGAACAGTATCAGGTATCTGACTTGAATGGTCTGTAAACTTATCTGTATCATGTCACTGAGGCCGATAACAAACACAAATAAGATATGATTCATTCTGAGAAATATTAAGTTTAATAAACACTGTTTCAAAAAGCGAATTTTCATAGTTGGTTATTCTTTTAGTAACGACTCCCCTGCGAACAAAAACTAAAATGCCTCCTTCTCTCAAGCCTACTCTATCCTTTCTTACAAACATACCATACCCGTCTAAATTCAATTGACTATCATCCGTTGTAGACGTAAGCCACGGTTCGACAATCGCAATCATAATAGATTTGGATTTTAAAATTTCTAATTTTAGAAGCTCTACCTTATTCATCGGTTCGTGTATGTTAGAAAAGAAACTACTCGAGTTAAGAAATAAAACTGTTTTACCACGTTGTGTTGTGCAGTAATTTTTATTAGCCATAGCCATTTGAGAAAGATGTTAAGAACGAGACAATCCGAGTCAGATGTAAGTAAAAGCACATAGTTATAGATGGAGAGAGAAAGAAAGAAATAGTGAGCACTCTATCCTATTCGTACTGTTTATTCTACTAGAGAGAAGAACGAAAGAAAGAAAGAACGTGTTTACTTCATACGTAAAAACATATCACCGGATCACAACTTACCTAAAAAACGTGTCGAATGTACTTACATTAACATACGATTAATATTTTTAATTTTTATGATGCTTAGGTAATTTTACAATCGCTTTGTAGTTACTAGAGACTCAGACAGAATTCATTTCTGAAAGAATCAAAAGAAGATACCACGAACGATTTGGATCTTTCTCAAGGGTATCGTCAGGTGGTTTCCTTCGAGAAAGACAGAGTTAAAGCACGACAAGCAACGCAACTCCATCACACCGTACAAGTAACATAACGACTTCAATTAACCTCAATTAACCGTTCGGTTGATTATGCGCTTTACCATCCGGTTAATTACAATTAACCACCAAACCGGCAAAACTCTACGGTTAGCCACTGAATTGTCCGATTCTTTCTGGTTAACCGCGATTATTTGATGCTTTGTTTTTTGCTGAGCAAATGACACTGGTTCAAATCCCGGACTGAGCCACCTATTTATTTTCGCTTTTCAACGAAATACGCCAGCACAGTCACTTATTTTCAATCTTTTTTTATTCTAAGCTTGAAATCGAAGCAAAAGTTTACTAAAACGCGATCATTTTGGTAAAGCACAAAGCACACAACAAAAGTATAGTAACAAAGCAACTGTTTCGTGTTTATCTCTTCATGAGTAAATGCTGTCACGAATAAGGTTCTATAACAATTCTGAATCCAAAGAATAAAATTATTTTCATGACAAAAACTTCCCGTTTGTCATTTTGCATCTGTCACAAACGCGTTTTGGTTTTTTGGATATAAAAAACGGAAAAGCGTTTTTTAAAAGATTAATTAGTCTTAATAAACTCTTTTTGATAGTTTATTACACACGTATTGAAAACAATTAGTTTGAAACCGGTCTACTTTGCACTCTCGCTCATTCTTCAGCTAGCCCTTGATCAGTTAAACACTTCTCTTCTGCTTAGTTAGAATCGTACCGTCTCCTTCTTTGGTAATATACTCTGTTCTTTTTCTTTATCAATCTTTTGTAAATTAGTTTTCCTCTCCTCTGTTTTTTGCTTTTAACTTTTTGTTTTCAATTCACCTCCTCCAGAAAAATGATGGAGCTACTATTGGACCAAAAATTACTGTAAAAGTTCAAGCAAGGTAAGCTTTAAGAGAAAATTTCATTTTGGTTCTGGCCTTGCATGATCTAGCTTTGAATGTGGGTATTTCTACTTCCAAATGCTTTCAAAACATGTCTTGTTGTTGTGATTTACATTTCATCAATATTTCACTCTAGATTAGCGCTTTTTAAAATAAACATTATTTATTATGCATATATGAAGCAAACTTTTTGAAATTGCCTAGCTATAGCGTTTTATATTGCACAAGAGATGTGATTTATACAACGCATATCCGTGACTTATCAGTTGTCTATAGTCGGTCATAGCATACATCGAGCAAACAATTTTTGTATATAGAAGCTGGTCGGTCAGTGCTACTCAATGCACGGCTCGAGCTGAAATTTCTATCATATGTACAAAACTGGCTAATAATCTGGTGGACTAGAATACCGAAATTTTCAAAGTGTAGAAGAGAGCTCGAATAAATATCATGAGCCTTATTGCACATTTTTAATGCCTTTTGATAACCATCTTGAAGTTCAAACCAATGTTGTCGTACGCAGTTGCCAGATAACGGTGATTGGGTGGTAGAGTGCGTAAGAAAATTTCAAGTACCCTGTTGTACTGTTTCAAATAGTAACCTTGAGCTTTTTCAATTAAACCAATGTTGTTCAATATCTTTGCAAGTTGTGTATCATCTAGCTGACGCCTGCTAAATAACAAATTTAAAACGTCCAGCTCTATGTCTTTCGTAGGACGTTAGACTTGATCAACTAACAATTCTTCTCATTTTGAGGTTCTCAAATGGAAATGATCAGAAAATTTCTTCTTCTACTTACTTCATGGAAGTACGTGTCGAATGTGACAAATCTAGGCGGTTTATCTCTAAATGAGAAAATATCAAAGTATTCTACAAAAGAGAAATCAAAATAAAGGCGATCATTACTTCGCACTTGAAGCGATTATTGAAAACGCAAGGAAGTTGCTTATAACAATGGCAATTACAGTGATTCAAGAATATCTCGATATAGGATAATGGTGGGGCGTTTTGGTGGTAATGATTTCATTCTAAGTTCAACGGCTATTCTTAGATGCGAAATGCTTCCGCAAAAACATGTTTCAAGAGGGAACTAAAAAATTTACAGATCTAACATTTTCATCACACTTATAGAAATTTAGAAAGTATAACTAAACTTACAAACAAATACTCTCTTATATAAAGTCAAAATAGAATTATACTATTTTACTATATTCTGACGTCTCTGCTCGAAGTACATGAAGTTTATCGAGTCTTTTCTTTCCAGTCCGAGTCATTGAATAATGCTACTGATGTCAACATCTGTAGCTTCCGGAGCTTTGCTTTGATCTGATAATGCTCTCCTCATGTTGTTGTATGTTGTAGCCATACGAGGATGATTTGAAGGAAGGGAAGCCGAATACATTTCATGTGCCTTGTTGAACATTTTTAATGCCTTACAATAATCCCCTTGAGCTTGGTAAACCTCGCCAATGTTGTTATAAACCATAGCCAATTCAGGGTGATTTGAAGGAAGTGAAGTCGAATAAATATCATGAGCCTTGTTGAACATTTTTAATGCCTCAGGATAATCCCTTTGAGCTTGGTAAACCTCACCAAAGTTGTTGTAAACCATAGCCAAATCAGGATGATTCGGCGGAAGAGAGCTCAGATAAATTTCATGTGCCTTTTTTAACACTTCTAGTGCCTCTAAGACTTCGCCCTGAGCTTTGAAGACAATCCCGATGTTACTGTACGTCGTCGCCAGATGACGATGATTTGGGGGAAGTGAAGCCGAATAAATTTTTAGTGTCTTGTTATACATTTCTAATGCCTTGGAATAATTACCTTGAACTTCGTAGAACTTACCAAAGTTGTTATAAACCATTGCCAAATAAGGGTGATCTGAAGGAAGTGAAATCGAATAAATCTCATGAGCCTTGTTGAACATTTTTAACGCCTCAGGATAATCACCTTGAGCTTGATGAACCTCACCGAAGTTGTTGTATACTCCGGCCAAATCAGGGTGGTCTGAACGAAGTGAAGTTGAATAAATGTCATGAGCCTTGTTGTACATTTTTAATGCTTCGGGATAATCACCTTGAGCTCGGTGAACCTCACCGAAGTTGTTGTATATTGTTGCCAAATGAGGATGATCCGACGGAAGGGTAGTGATTAAAATTTCGCGTGTCTTTTCATACATTTCCTTTGCCTGAGTGTATTCACCTTGATCAGAATGAACCATAGCAATGTTGTTGTATATTGGGGCCAAATTAGGATGATTTGATGGTAAAAAATGCAGATAATTTTCAAGTGCCATGTTGTACATTTTTATCGCCTCGGCACAATTACCCTGAGCTTGATGAACCTCCCCAATGTTGTTGTATGTCTTGGCGTAAGCAAGATGGTTTGGTGGAAGGGAACCGTTTAAAATTTGAATGGTCTTCTCGAACAGTTTGATGGCTTCGGAATAATCACCCCTAGCTTTGTGAACCCCACCAATATTGTTGTATGTTTCGATTAAGTCAGGATGTGCTGGTAGAAGAGAGCTCGAATAAATTTCATGAGCCTTGTTAAACAGTTCTAATGCTTCGGAATAATCACCTTGAGCTTGACGAGCGATACCAATGTTGCTGTACGTCCTACCTAAATCAGGATGATTTGGTAGAAGAGTACTCAACTCGATTTCAAGTGTTTTTTCGAACATTGTTAATGCCTCAGAATAATCACCTTGAGCCTGAAGAACAAAACCAATGTTGCTGTATGTTACAGCCAAATCAGGGTCATTTGTTGAAAGAGAGCTCGAATAAATTTCATGAGCCTTGTTATACATTTTTAATGCCTCAGGATAATCACCTTGAGCTTGGTGAACCAAACCAATGTTGTTGTATGCTATTGCCAAATAACGGTGATTTGGTGGTAGAGTACGTAAGAAAATTTCAAGTACCCTGTTGTACGTTTTCAGTGCCTCCGAATAGTGACCTTGATCTTTTTCAATTAAACCAATATTATTCAATATCTTTGCAATTAGTGTATCATCTGGCTTAATAGTCGCCTTCTTTGCATAATACTTCCATGCGTTTCTATAGTCACGTTTCTCCATGCAAGACTTTCCTAGTCTGCTATAAATCTGAGCAATGTACCACAGATTCTTCCCCGCGGATATCTCTGTGAGTAGTAATCGATAAAACGTTTTTCCTCGGTTCCATTCGCCCATTTCGATCATCAGCCTCCCCAAAGTGAACAAATCATCTCTTTCACGTATTTTTCGTGTGATGTGATTCCTCAACGCTCTTAGTTGTTCGTCTTCAGCACCCGTGAATTGCAGAGTAACACTCCATATACCATTACTGGACTGCACCACTGATTTGATTCGAAACACTGATCCCATTGAAAAGAGAACTTCATTTTCTGTCTTGACAAAGCTGTACTGTTGGATATTCGCAAACGGATTCGCTTTTATTGTCGGATCTATTTCTATTTCGAAGAGTATGGCAGCGCGATTCGCACTTGAAGTAGCAAATGATAATGCGGTTCTTTTGTGGGTACTCGTTGACAAAAATTCGCTAATGGACAGAAGACCACCGACATTCCTTTTCAATTTCTGATCCAATTGTTCCGCTAACATTTGTTGTCCACGGTATAGAACTATGGGATGGCTGATCGATTGAGCATGCAATTCTGCCAATTGATAATGAAGATGCTTAATGAAAAATCTAAGCTTATAGAGAACATCGATATCTTGAAGTCTCAGGGCTTTGTTCATCATCTTGTAGAGGAAACATTCTCTCGTGTACCACCAGACTGATTTATCATGATAATACTCTTGATCAAATTCATCAACCACTTTTATTTCACTCTTGTCGTCTTTGCATTGTTCTCGACAAAATTCGACCATTTCTCGTTTTGCATCATCGCCATGCTCCATACCGATAAGAACGTCGCGAAACAATAGCGAGTACATGAATGATGCTTCTTGTTTATTTAAACTGCTGTCACTCCCACTGTTTGAAGAAATCGCAGTCATTGTTATCAAATCCTTTGAGGATTGTTGATCAATTTGACGCAATTGTTCAAAAATCTGATCAACTTTATCGATAACGCCTTTCACTTTGTTTTTATATTGCCAGATCCACTGTTCATATTCGGCCTTGTTTGAATAGACAACGTAAATCGATTCCAATTGTGACATTTGATAGATTAGAGGAAGGATTTGTTGACCCAATGAACTCGAAACGATCAAAAGTATTTTCTCATCTTTGGCATCGGTCATAAAACCGATACATGCCTTCATATTATCAAATATTTCTACCGACTTAAATGTACTCTGGAACTCCTCTTTGAATTTATGATTATCGTCTCCCTTGTCGGGTTTCTCATCGAGCCACACCGCTACAAGATTTTCCAGATTTGGACTCTTACCCGCAGCTGCCATTGTTTTTGTTGCCGTTGTTTTGATTTTTGGCTTTGTCGGTGCTTGCTTTAATTTCTTTGGTCATGGGTCACTGCTTTCGTATTGACTAAACATAAAAAGTAGATGCGCTAAAATAACACTTTCAGAAACAAAATTATCGAAAACGATAATATCTGGTTAATGCTGGTTTTGTCAAAGTAAAGTCGTAATCTGATGTAGTTTTATACTTTTCTGGTTAACATAGAGACTATGACGTTTGTAATTAAAATAACAGACCTTTTAACTGTACCAGTGTTACAGTTCAACAGTTGAGCAGTTACAGCTTACGTAACTGGTCAAAACTCATCTTATTTTAGACCCGCTAGTGTTTTTTCCATCTCGTGGACACATCAAGTAACCTTTTAAACGCATTTTCAAATCATCGATAACACCACTCTAAATAGTTTCCTGCAAACATATGATCAAAGGATTACCTTGAGAAACAAACACTTTTAACGCATCTATGTCTGACTGTCATGGTATTTCTTTAAGTTTACTTGAAATATGGGCGACTCCGTCACCATTGAGATGTAGTCGTCGATGTGACATGCACTGTTTTGTTAAATCAATTGTAAGAACGGTAATTTCTTATTACTAATGAATGTTGATGTCAGTAACTGATTATATCGTTTGATTTCAGATAGTAATGGTCTATCATATCGAGATAGTACAGTTATCAAACTGAGATGCTTCATGTTTGAATATTTGTTCTTAAGAGTGAATTTCTGAGAAACTCAGACACCCGACGATGGAGTCACATCTCCGATTTGGCTGAATTTTTGGATATGTTGTAGAGCTCTGAGAGTTGTGTACTTTCTGAAATTTTCAGCCGAATCGGATGAGTTTCTGAAATGTAGTCGTCAAAATACTGATGAATTTTTTCAAGAATAATTTTTTGCTTGCTTTTTTAATACTTTTTGAAGAAAAGCCGTTTTCTCTTTCGTCTTCTGGAATTTCAAGTCCTTTGGTTTCTAAGAATAGTTGTCAGATGTTTCTACCGCGAAATACAAAAACTCAGCTTTTTTCATCAACTAAATGGGTGACACGGCTGATGTTAATGGAACCGCACGATACGTATTCTCTAGAAAAGTGACCAAAATATCGATTAGCCGCATTCGGTGCCCCAACAACGGAACACCTTCAAATTTTCAGCATAGATAGAGCACGCCGAGCTCTATCATCCAGCCTAGTTGGAATTTTTTTCCAGATGGAAAAAGTGGAAATACAGCCATGATTCAATTTTTTGCATTGAAAAAGGGTTCAATGTCTCAATATACGAGCGGAGTCACATGTAAGAGGCGAATGGCATTTAGCACGTTGTGGAGGACACAGCGTTAAGTAGTCCTGAAAATTTCAGATCCAACTACTGTGTTTACAAAGGAAAATCGGCGTGTTTATTGCGATTTTTTTTCCTTATTTCTGTAACAACAAACAGCTCTAAAATACTCCTTTCGTAATTTTTTCTGTCATAATAAAAAATATGTATATTTCAAAAGCATACCATTGGATAGCACTTGAAATTCTCTACCACGTGAGCGGGTCAGAATATCCAGACAGGTGAAGCCAGTCGTTAAAGATATGGAAAAGAAGCGTTTGGATGTTATCTATGCAGCACAGTGTGTGATAATCACAAGAACTTCTTTGTTTTGGATCTTTTAGTAAAAGCTGAACCCAATCTGAATACTGCTTTGAATAGGCCGAAGATTTTTCTATGAAATGAGGTGCATATCGACATTTCATGAGAAAAGTTGATAATAGGGTTTCTGGAAAACCAAGTCCATGGTTTTTGGTCAGAAAATTTTCCAAACCATATAGCCTGATAGAGCATAGAATTCTGAACACATTAAGACGCCTCCCGGCTGTCCGAAATGCTTTGTCACCGTAATGTTTTGGTGACAAACATTGGTGGTGTGCGTGAAAACATCGATATCTTGAAGTCTCAGGGCTTTGTTCATCATCTTGTAGAGGAAACATTCTCTCGTGTACCACCAGACCATGGTTTTTGGT